CACAAAACGTAGCAGGATCTGGCTGCTTCCCTGGAATCCAGATGATCCGATGTATCTGGATTAATTGTCTTTAAAAGAACTCATGCTCCAAGGTCTGTCAAGCCCAAATTTAGGGTATCCTGACTTTAGTCCAAATTTAGCGTATCCTTAGGGACAACCCTAAAAACTTTTCACACCTTGTTTATGCAATATTATTTACGGCACTATGTAACTACACTTGATTTTGAGTCTGCCAGCGCAACTGTCGTAACTTTAGTCCAATAGATATTTGCATACCACACCGGAAAATGATACCGTCTAGGTGTAATGACTTATGGCTGTATTTTCATACATTCCACTCAGTTGGACTTCATGCAGAGCTTCACTCCTAATCACACAGTGCTTTTGCTGAAAATGACAACTTCCTGTTGCTTTCTTCATTATTTTTTCTTTCATACCTATAAGGACCATGCTGTACATTTGTGCTTTCTAGACATCAGCATTGACTATTAAAAACCCTCTGTAACCACAATAAAGGATTACTATCCTCGTCCAGATTTACTTTATTCTCTCAATGTCCACTGAGAACAATTGGAAAGCCTCTCTTCTGTAAATAAGCTCCCTTTTACAAGGTAATAGGATATAGTGTATTTGGTACACACAAGATCGGTGGTGGGTTGCGTTGTGTACTTTTACAGAGAGACATAAGATCATGTATGCTTGATTTGATTGCAGATTTATTGAGGTTTAATTAACTGTGAAGAAATGTAACAAAGGCATAGACCATAAAAATGGAAATGAAATGGAAATAGGAAGTGGTTTAATTTTGCGGTGATTTTGTTGTTTTTTTCTTTCAAAATTTCCATGGTGAGGGGAGTCTTCATGTTATGATTTTGTGGTACACACAAAGTGGTCTGACTGAATATGTCCCACTGTCTCTTAGGACAACAATACATCTCTGTGGCTATGTGACCTAGTTTAGGTTTAACAAATCTACTGACTGTGGATCATTCGAAAAATTCTTCCAGGTACATGAACTTAACCACATAACCACAAGCCATATTCACATGATTAGACCCAATCTAACATTCTATCCAGTTAAACTTAATGATCTTCATGCTTGTTCAGTGAAAACTGTGAAGTTTAACAGAGATCCGCTTGCTGTCAGGACGAGCCTTTATTGCTAAGTTAAATTACTCTCATGAATTTTAACATATAAAGATAAGAACATTAATGGCAAATTTTCTCTTGACTTACATTTTACGGTTACATTTTTATCTTAAATTTAGCTTGAAGATTTATTTCTAAATGGTAGACCTCATTTTGGAGAAAGTCTCCCAAGTTTTTTATGTATACATGAAATACTTTTGGAAAGTTGTTATATATGGCAGTGTGACATGCTAATCTAAAATGATTTTAAACAGCATTTCGCTAATAATTATTATTACGATCTCATTTTATTTACAATTTGAATTCATTCCATGCTGCATACAATGAACTAACAAGGGAAATATTTTAAAATGTTTATAAAATGATACACTTTCCCTAAAATTCAAATACATTTCAACCTAAGATCTTGATGTTGAGTGAAATAATAAAAGTACATGGGTATGTTTTGTCAGCTACTGTGTTTATTTGGAGTCCAATAGCAACCTTATCCTTGGAAGCAGAGTTTCGTAGAATGAGGTTTTCCATCTAGACACAATTCCTTTGAAGGCTCTTTCCCCCACAGTTCTGTTGTGCTCAAACTCTCTTCTGCAACAGAGATCAGAGAACTCTGAAAGACCCCCAACCAGCAACCTGAATTATGCGATGATTAAACCTTAACCAACCCTGCAGCTACGGTCTCCTTTGAACATTTGCAAATTGTTCAAACCATATTCCGAATCTTACATGTTGTAACTAGGCCCTAATTGGCCTTACCCTACCCAAGCTTTTCTAGTTTCCTACTAATTTCCTTTCTTTTAACCCTGAGATAACTGCACATTATTTTGCCTGACTTTAAAGGACTTTTGTACTTTACCATCTCGCCCTGCTTTTCCTAAAGACATCCTCACCTGCTTTTCCTAAGCTTCTTGGCTGCAGTGATCTCGCACAAGAAGCTGCCAAAGCTGGCTAAATAACCTACCAAGCGACCACACATGACTGAACCGTCACGCTCATATCTGCACCTCCACTATCCCGGTTCTCGCTTCAGCACCCTTGTTCACATCGGCAAAAGGGCAGCACACCTCTCGGATCACATGTGCTGGTCGTAATGCAACACGTGCACACACACACTAATACAACACCATTTCTGAGCTATAAAGGCAAATGATTTGCTGACATTCACAGTCAATTTGCGGTGGCTCTTTGACCATAAACTCAAAAACAACACTAAAACTGCCTCACCACAAAGTCATGGAGTTTATCAAGACTAGATAGTATTTTCATTTTGACAGTTTCTAAGTTTGGTACTTGGATGCGAATTGTTCACTTGAAAGCATGTAATCAAGATGTCAACATGCAAGTACATCTCAGATTGAACCTCTGCTTTCTAATCTGTTTTGTATTGTGCAAAAGGCCTGTCGTGCAGGTTTTCAGTGACTGCAGCGCTCTGATAGTGACTGTATCTATAACGACAACTGTTTGTTTCTAGATGCAATCCCTTGTGTATTGTCCTAGGCTCTACTATGGTGTTTATTTCTGTGTGCATTTGTGCTTATGTGTGAATTGTTTCTTCAGGGTGTTAAAAATTCACCTAAAATGTGATTTTATACATATTTGCATTCTGTCTGTTGAATTAGTGTCACTAACAACCAATGAAGTTTAATCTTTTAAGTGTTATTTCCCCTATCCTCTTTCTGCTTTTGGTTAGTGTGTATTTCTAAGCTAATGATTGGCGTGGCTCTTTGTAAACAGTGAAACACCCCAGCAGTCACGTATGCATAGTGCGTGCTATAGGTGTGTCTAGGTGCAATAAATCGAAATGACCACTCGATATGGTGCTGTATTTTTATTTTTTTTTATAAATTGTTTAATATGTTATTTAAACTGTAAGTTAAACATTAAAGTGGATGTTATCTTGAGTGACGATAACACGGACTGACTCTGAGTAAGCTTTAGCTGATGTCAGTGTCAACAGAAGTGCACTGAAAGATGGGTTTACACGTGTGTATCAGAATAGGGAATATTTGGTCAGGCTCGTTTGCTTTTAAAAGTTCTGGTCTGTTCACCATAAGAAGAATGTGGCTTAGTTTGTTGCAGCTTTTATTGTTTTTTTTACAGAATTATGTTTTTGTAGTGGCGGAAGCCCCCTATAACTTCACTATGAATTTATTTGATCAAATAAATGCAGGCATGGTGAGCATAAGATACTTATTTCAATGTATATTAGTCATACATGGTATATTAGTTGGTTATTTTTCAAGTTTATTAGTTATAGTGAAGGGTGGAAAGGGGGCCTAATATAATAAATTCTATTTTATTATATCTAACTGATTTAGTGGAAAGTGGTACGGAAAAAATGGTGATTTAGGGGTGATCACCTCTTTAACGTTAGAATGGTATGGTGCAATGCAAGACCTGATTAATTCTCACTTGTCCCACCTAACTAGCCATCTGTGAAGGGTGGGTTTGAATGTGAGTGTGACCCTATGGAGAAAAGATTAGCACTTCCATCCTGTAGGATGAGGCATGACGTAATGTGTGTATCATGTGGATAAGGCGTTGTGTACTTTGTGTGGTGGTATGATGATGATGATGATGATGATGATGAGGCTAGGTGTATCTATGACGTGAAAAGCTTATTTGTCATATTTATGATTACAATTGTCTGCACCATATTGTTGGAATTTTTATGTGTCTTTATCGTTATAGTTGTGGTGTGGACTGTGCTATTCTTTAATATTGAGAACGATTTTGAGAACTATACCTTTATCGTTATAGGGGAAGTCATGGCCTAATGGTTAGTGAGTCAGACTCATAACCCAAAGGTTGTGGGTTCAAGTCTCGTACCGGCAAGGATTGTAGGTGGGGGGAGTGACCTTCTCCCACCTTCAATACCACGACTGAGGTGTCCTTGAGCAAGGCACCGAACCCCAAACTGCTCCCCGGGCGCCGCAGCATAAATGGCTGCCCACTGCTCCGGGTGTGTGTTCACGGTGTGTGTGTGTTCACTGCTGTGTGTGTGCACTTTGGATGGGTAAATGCAGAGCACTAATTCCGAGTATGGGTCACCATACTTGGCCACATGTCACGTCACGTCACATTATTGTTCTTGGTGTGAACGGGCCTTTATTCTAGTACACTATCTCTGATTTTTTTTATTTTATTTTATATTTTATTGAAAGTATTTAGTGCTTTGTTTTTGTTAGTATTTATTTTATTGATTTAGGTTTTTATTGAACAGCAGGTCTGACTTTACGGAACTTTAGTGTATAATTTTTAGACTTAAATCAGAAATATTTCAGAATGTCAATTTTGATTCCACAACTAATATACTAACTTTTGAATTGAGCACACATTTTAATTATTGATATATATATTTCTATGTAAATATTGCACGTTTTTCAAATAGTTACTCAAGTAAAATATCGGTAATAAAGATCAAATTAAATAAAAGTAATTGACATATTATTAACATTAAAAATATACTAAATTTTTCCTAATTAAAATACTTTTTCATAATTAAAAAAGTAAGCCTTTTACCTTTAAAGAACGGAATAGTGCTTGTAAAAATAATAAAAATAAAATGTACAAAATTCATGTACACTCACATAACATGAACATTTCTGTTTACACAAAGCAGGTCACCTCATAGTGGCTGCTATGTTGGGATCACATGACCAGTCAGATGCTACTTACTGCAACTCGGTATTTCCCAGGTTCATATCTTAAATAAGGCCATGAATCAAATATACAGTAATTCAAACAAATTCATAACAAATGCTGACGCAAACTGAACACGGATGGATTTCATCTCATCAAATATGATCATGAGGATCACGTTTTTCTGAACGGTTCCTGTTCTTCTGTTCTAGACTCTGAGACAGAGGAAGAAGATCCCAGAAAGCACCACAGAAGAAGAAGAAGAAGAAGAAGAAACGTCGGCCATCAATAAGTGCAGCAAAGTCAATGAAGAAACGGTATGCAAAAGTGAAATTCAAACTGATGTTACAGGCATATTCCTGATTATAATACAAGCTGTAAGTTAAGTCAGAAAAAATGCTTTTTTAAAACAAATACAATGATGGCAATAATGCACAATCCTACAAAGACTGCACTATAGACTTCCATTTTAAGTGCATTTCTGTGCATGTTTCTTTGCCACAAATAAGGATGAGACAGGATGTGTTAGATTAGCCATCTAGCTGATTAGTGAGGTCAACTAGTTAATCTAGAATTTTTCTCTCTTTAGTTGTAGCTTAGTTAATGTTTTGCACTGTAGTGCTACACGTCCTGTGTGAACGGCCCATGGGAAACGCATCTGATCGATGTGTGGTGGACATGACGATAAACCAGTCTAAATGTATATTACTTCCTGAAGACATTACGAAAACATAGTTTTACACATTCTTAGGCTTAAAATGACTTTCTGTGGTAATCAACAGATGCTGGCGATTGAGCTGAACTTGCATTTAATCCAGAACAGTCATTTAATCACTGTATCACACATTTGTTTGCTTGTCATCTGGAAGTGAAGCTTTAGTTCATATGACAGGAAACCACAAGTAACCTTTCCTCTTTTTGCTTGAAGCGACCGTGAAACACAAGCAGAGCAGGTGACTTTCTGTTGCTCTGTCTTTCTTGTACAGTGATTATCATTTAAGACTTATTTCTTTCAAACTTCCTTTTTTTTTTTGTGGTTGAACGATGCCACAATCTGGATAAAGCCAAAATATGTTTGTGCTTCACTGACAATGAAAAGATATGTGAAAAATGCTTGTGTATACACTTCTCTCACTCTCTGTGTGTGTGTCCTCTATCAGAGGCATTTCACAAGCATCGATTGTTTTGTGAATTTGACAGACAGGGTCAACGATTTAGAGAACACTGACCCCTTTGCAGAACCGTGCTGTACCATTCATTATTACGTCTAGTAATAAATATGTGCATGCGTGTATGAAGTTGGAGAAGTATTTCCTTATTTACTAGTAATTTATAAAAGGAAAAAAGAAAAGGAAAAAAAAAGTTAAAATATGTATTTACATGAGGGTGTCAGTATGAAATTAATTTTGATATGACAAAAATATTATTACATTCTTAATATTACATTTTTAATAATACATCATTACTTTATGTATATGTGTATTTAGAAATGATAATTTTACATTTTTTAAATAATATTTCCATTATTATATATTACATCAGTTGTAAATTATATTTAATATTTGTTATAAAGATTGTGTGTCTAAATATAGTTAAAATGAAAAGAATATAATATTTTATAATAATTATATAAATTATAATAATTATTCTATTAAAAAATAATAATTCACCTTTTTTTATGACCCACCCAGACTTGTTCTTACTCTGTCATTCTTACTCTGTGTTACACTACAGGCCAAAACATAACCTGTGCATCAGGCTTAGGCATAACAACCAACACCGTAATTAATGCCCTAATGAAACTTGAAAGCCAGACAGGATAGGCAGTCCAGACCAGATTTCTGGGTTGATTACAGCAGGAATGTGGTCTCAATTGCTGCACTCCCATTCGTTTCAGCGTTGCTGTAAAGCAAAAGCCATTCATTCGTCCTAACATGTCCACCTATTGATGATGTGACAGACATTTTCTAGAATTAAACCGGAATACATTGTTCTGTCCACCTCCTCGTTCCACAGAACAAGTCAAGTGGGTGGTTATGGTTAAGCTGCTCTTCGTATTCTGTCATGCAATAATAACTATAAATAACACTGAATAAATCAGAGCTATTATGATTAAGCTTTTTGTTTGTTTAAACTGGCCCCCTAGATAATGTCATTGAATTGCAATGACGTTCTGTATCTTGTGATCAGTTGGCACATCTGGCATGGTCCTACATCGTGACTCTGGAGAGGTGTTAATATGCGCATGACTGCCATGAATGTCAGCCTGCTGTTTCATAAATTACAAGCACAGAGCCATGCATAGATAGACGTCTGTTGCTTCAGGTTAAGTCCACCTTGAGTTCAAGGCCTCTGCTTCTTTGAATCTTGGTCAGGTGCCGCCCCCTATCGGTCTTGGGTCTATACTAACTCCAGTGTGTCCTATTAGACACACCCACCACCTCTGCTTTATATTGTTATAGTGGCCCCTGGTGGAGAACGTAGGAAAAGCATCTGGTCAAAGTTTGCACCGTAAACAAGGAACAGTCAAATGATTCAGCAAACTAACATCATTGATAGCCAACATTCCTGGTGCGCAGTACTTCCTGAACTCTGTTAACTTTTACATAATGGCAGGAAAATGAACGGAATATTTAATAAGATGGCAATGAATGGTTATGTTAGTCATCTGGTTAACTTACATGACCTTGTTAGTATGAAGTGAATTTTAATATTAATAATTTTGTCATATTGAATTATGATTAATACATTAAATTACTACAGAATTATTTTATAACAGGATGGATTGTTTTAGAGGCAAACCAACTAATAACACAAAACATCACTGATTAACATAGCAGGTTAAACCTGGTATTACAAATGACTACCATGTTCACTAAATAATTCCTATTTTACCTCTGAAATAAAATAATATAAATATTAGATGAAAAACTTAAATGAAATGAAATGTTGCCTTGGCAACTAACTGAAATTAGTAAGTTGAAGTACTAAAATTACTACAAATAAAACTGAAATAAAAATAAAGCTAAATAGATTATATATATATAAATAACAAAAGCGCATAACAAATTTGTTAAAGCCCTAAAACTAAAATAATAAAATATAAAAATAATTCAAAATACTTTAATAGTATATAAATAATATTAGATTAACACTGTTATTGGTTATAAATAATATTTTTGAATATTATTAATTATATTATAATAATATGTATTAATATTTATTTAATATAAAATAATATTTCTATTTTTTTTCGTTGTGCATACAGGATCTGGTAGACTGGCGGAAGCCACTGGCCTGGCAGGTGGGATACCTCAGAGAGAAATATGACACGTGGGTCCATCAGCCTGTGGACAGACCGATCAGGCTGTTTGAGAATGACTTTTTCGAAGCCAACACAAAGACTTCTTGGTAAGACAAATCACATTACAGGATTTACTGCTTGTGTTTGTTTAGTTAAACATTGTACTTTAATAAGTAATAGGGTTATGCTACAGGAGTTGCTACGTTAAGTGTGTGGTGGTTAATTAACAGATACTTCAACTTTGTTATGTGTGTGTTTTTGCAGGTACATGGTGCCAATTGTATGGATGCCTTTGGTGATCTATCTGTGCTGGTACTGCTATGCGTTACTGGCACAAGAGAGGACAAGACTGTTTATTACATCAGGTGTGTGAAAAGTGTGCTTTAAGACATTCTTAGTTGATTTACTTAGTCCTCAGAAGTATTATTTTTACTTCACTAGTATTTATAAACTATTATAGAATTTATTAATATTTAGAATTTTTTAGCTTTTTTAGATGTAATTTTATTTTATAGTGTGTAGTAATTTATTTGGGGGGGGGGGGGGGGGGAAGCTGCTAGCTTCAAAGCAGTTCTGTGGAGAAAGGTCAATACAGCAGGTTTTAAACATACAGAGATGTTCACTTTAAATATTTCATTTTGTGCATTGCAAGAGAGAATGGTAGGTTTTATTATTGATTTTTTTTTTTTTTTTTTTGTTGTTGTTTTTGTGTGGGGGGGGGGGGGGGGTTGCTGCATAGCTTTAATTTAATATAGATTTCTGTTTTAATTTTATTTTAAACCTAATTATTTCAGTTAGTTGCCAAGGCAAAATGTTAAGTTTGTTTCCATCTGATATTTAATTCATTTTAGTTTACCTTTATTCCAATTACCAAAAACATTTGTAATAGTTTTAGTGAACATTAACAACACTGGCAGAAACACCCTTCTGACATAAGTGACACAGTTAAATAAGTAAATGATCTTAGTGAAGGATTATGGATTGGTGGATTGTTTTTTTTATTTTACACATTTACTTTTTAGACTACTCCATTCTGGTCCACAAGTACAGCTTTCCGTTCATCTTCATGCTTGGCATGTTCCTGTGGTCGTTCATCGAGTACTGCATCCATCGCTTCGTCTTCCACATGCGCCCGCCCGCTCACAATTATTACCTTATCACACTGCACTTCCTGTTGCACGGTCAGCACCACAAGGTGTGTGATTTTGTTCCGATACTTGAGATTCATGAATAATTAATTGAGAAGTTGAATTGACATAATTCATTAGATATTGACGAACCTCAACATAACTCTTTTCATACCCATCAGTCTCCGTTTGACGGCTCTCGTCTGGTGTTTCCTCCGAGTCTGGCCGCCATCGCCATTGGCGCTTTTTACCTGATACTCAGGCAGCTGTTGTCTGAGGGTCTGGGAACCTCCCTGTTCGTCGGGGGTCTGTGTGGATACGTGGTCTACGACATGATCCACTACTACCTGCACTACGGCTCGCCACGGAGAGGCTCCTACTTGTACGGGCTGAAAGCGTACCACGTCAAACACCACTTTGAACACCAAAGGGCAGGTGAGGACATGAGATTTGAGATGATGGGCATTAGAGCATCTCTCTACAAAATAGAGCTTAAGACCAGTGCCAAGTTAAAGTAAATAAAAATGTTTACTGTAAACAATATGTATAATTTACTGTGACCTTAAAATGCATTGTTGCATACAAAAAAGTAATTTAAAGTATTTTTATTACTTTTATTATTTTTAAAAATATATTAAATATGTATACATTTTAAATCATAATAATAATAATTTACTGTGACCTTAAAAAATACATTGTATACAAAAAATTGAAGTTTGCAAAGTCAATTATAAATTAAATCGAATTAAATTACATGAAATTTAATAAAATCCCTAAAAAGTGTAAATGTCCCAACTAGTCCTTACATAAAAACAATGTTTGAAAACTTTATTTTTTTTTTTGTTATATATATATATATATATATACAGTGGGGCAAAAAAGTATTTAGTCAGCCACCAATTGTGCAAGTTCTCCCACTTAAAAAGATGAGAGAGGCCTGTAATTTTCATCATAGGTATACCTCAGCTATGAGAGACAAAATGAGAAAAAAAATCCAGAAAATCACATTGTAGGATTTTTAAAGAATTAATTGGTAAATTCCTCGGTAAAATAAGTATTTGGTCACCTACAAACAAGCAAGATTTCTGGCTCTCACAGACCTGTAACTTCTTCTTTAAGAGGCTCCTCTGTCCTCCACTCGTTACCTGTATTAATGGCATCTGTTTGAACTCGTTATAAGTATAAAAGACACCTGTCCACAACCTCAAACAGCCACACTCCAAACTAATATTTACAGGTTTTCATATATTGCCACACTATTAAAATAAAACAAATTGTATTACAATTTACAATAAAATTTAAGTTAATGCTATTAATTTAATCAATATAAAAATAATTATTTTATTGTTAATATTAAATATATATCATGTAATATTATTAATTTAATTTTTTTTTAAATGTATTAGTATTATTAAAAATATGCTTTCTAAAAAACGTATAATAATAATAATATTTATTGTTTAATGTTTATTATTAATATTAATATATTTTACAAAAATATTTAACTTTATTTATTTATTACATTTAACCTGCTGTTTGCACTGTATTTGTTTGGTCTCCTTTTTAAAGCCTTCTGTTCATTCTGCATTTTTTCCAGGTTTTGGGATCACCACCACATTCTGGGACTACCCCTTCAACACAACCATGCCCGAGCAGACGTTTTAGAAGACCCTTCTTTTGCCACAATGACCAAATCAAAATCCCCCCAAACAAACTCCCATAAGCCTCTCTCTTCTGCATTCTCCCTTTATCACTGGGTTAGGTACAGTGTCTTACCCTGCTGCTGCTACCAGCTTTTATAACCTTAGGTTCACCATCATCATCATCATCATCGTCGCCGCCATCAATTATTTAGAGAAGGGTGGGGGGGGGTCCTGAAACAAACAGAATCACAGAATGTCAAGCTATATAAATATTTATATACCATGTATGAATGTACTGACGAATCAAATGTTGGATGAAATCTGTAAATGTCTTTTATTAGAGGCACAGGAATATCAAACTCACAGTTTTTGCCCATCCATGTAAAGTAAAGAGATGTATAGACTGGGACCGGTAAGTGTGGGATGGCGTGTGAAGGTGCGAGTGGAAATTAATTCTTAGTCGTAGTGTTAAGAAGCTGAAGGCTAGCAGAAGGAGGTCCTTTTGGTGGCCACGTGTGCCATTGCCTTTAAGTAAAACTCAGGAAAGTCTCAGACGCTTTAACTCTTCTCAGTGTTGATGCTGCAACCGCTTTACGGATCATCGCTTTCCCTGAGCTGTGTGTCAAAACTTTGCTCCGCCGGTTTCATTCTGCTCTGGTGGTCTTGCTTTTCTTTCTCATCTCACCCACTTCGAGGTGTTTTTTGCCAATCGACTTACTAATATCCTGATCCGGAGGACGTCACAAGTAGCTGCTCCTCGAGTAATATGTTACATATCCAGTGAGATATTAAGTTATTGAGGACTGAAGCTTGCTTTTGGTTCTCCTGACTAACACACGGGGACGATTCCGCACTTTGAGCTCATGGTGAGGGCGTGAAGCGGGGTGCACGGGTCTCTCCTGCCGGCGAGGGTTGCCAGCCGTCCATAGCTGTCATAGGGTGGAGGGTTTGTAGAAATCCTCTGTCGTCATCGGTGTAGATCTAGCCGGCGCAACCCTTCCATCTGGTGTGACGATCTGGTGCATCTGACCAGGCGTCAGGAGAGCAAGAGCATCCTCGGCTGATCTCTCATCCTTTCATACGGCAGATTTGTTCACTCGTCCGACACTTTTGTATTGTTCCCTACTCGTTTTAACTCCTGCCTTTGTCTTGACTCTGGTTCAATGTTGTTGGAATTCTGGGAAATATCCAAGAAAAGCTGTGACCACATGTAACTCAGCTTCATACAGTCATTATAAGCATAATTAATGTTTCAGATGAAATATATACATAATTATATATGATATTTAGGTAAAAATTATCCTGATGTGCCTTAGGGGCATTGCCTAACTTCCTGCTCCTTCCAAGCCAATTAGATCACATAATTGGTTGGACGTTTCAGCCAAAGACATGGAAGGACCTTTGAATAGAGCTTTTCTTTACACCGTGATTCTGTGGCACAACGAAACTAATAAAATGCAATGGACACTGTAATGATTTGTGATTATTTTGTAACTGTGACACCATCCTGGACAGATCCCATGTCATAGGAGAATGCTTTCAAATGAGGCAAGTCAACAGCGCAATATACTGTATTTATCTGTTTACTTGTAATCACATTGGGAGCTTTTAATTCCGATAAAATCTTCAGCTATAGATGCCTCTAATAAATCAGTTTACTTTATGTATTTTTATTTTGGAATTTTCAATTTCTATGCAAATGCAATCGTATTTGTAAATAAACTGTATATTTCTGAGGAAATCTTGTGGTGTTTTTTTTTAATTTATTTAAGAAAACGACAAAAGCAAGCAAACAAGACGGTGTGAAAGACTATACATTATCATTCAAAGGTATGAAGTTTGTGTGTTTTTGATAGAAGTCTCTTATGCTCACCAATGGTGCATTTGATCTAAAATACAGTAAACGCTAATATTGTAAATTATTACAAATGAAAATAACGGTTTTTATTTAAATTATATTTATTTTATAAATCAAACGTTTGGGGTCAGTAAAATTTAATTTTGAAGAAATGAATGCTTTTAGTTGAGCAAGGGCAAAAATGACAGTAAAAACATTTTTATTTATATATTTGTTTATTTAAAAATAAATCTAATAAATACTGTTCTTGTGTTCTATTCATTACATTTATTTTTTTTAAATATTATGTAGCACAGCTGATTTCAGCATTGATAAGTAAAGCTTCTTGAGCAGCAAATCAGCATATTAAAATGATAATATGTGACTATTGCGTCATGTGGTGTCAGAAGTCTTTTTTTAAAAGGAAAGCGAATTAATGTGGATGTTACAGTGAATATGCTAGTAGTGACTGGTGTTAATGACAACTAAAAAAAACTACAATTAAATAATAAATGACCACAAATTTTAGTTTTGTTACATGGTGAATTTTAATATTTTACATGACCTATTTTAAAACATATTTATAATGTGTAATTATCTATAAATTATAATAATATATTTATAATACATTTTAATATTATATTACAAAAGTTTACATATTTATTATAAAAAATTTAAATTAGTTAAATGCATTAATTTTTGCAGTCGTAAAAAAAACCCTAAATGATTGAAAAATTAAAGCTAAAGCTAAATTGAAGCTAACAGTCATAAAGTGAAAACTGCATTAAACAAAGAACATCTAACAATAAGTTAGAAATAGAAACTAATTTACTTCTTTTTAGTCCATTGCAAATGCTCACTCATAATACTCTGTGTGTTATATGCCATATGGTTATATTTCATGTCATATATGGCATATACTGTAATTGTAAAGTATCCTACATTAGCCATATGCTATTTTCAAAAACAAACAAGGCAGGCAATAGGACCCAGATGTGCTCAGACTGCAGAAGAGCATCCACCATCCGAAAAAAATGAAAATGTCCTTCCACACCCTAAAGGCTGAGAGGAGAGACGTTCAGCTGCATTCCTCTTCTGTCCAAGTAAACCAGCGAATGGATTGGCTCTGAACAAGTGATTGTGGTGAAAAACTCATCTTAGAAGTGTGTCGCACAGTTTGACTGTGAGTTTTCACACTTCAATTTGTTTCAAACAGCACACTGGAGGGGGTGGGGACATCAACATAACTCAAGCGCTCCGACAGACGAAGGTCCCTGGCTTTGACAGGTAGCCTGCAGAACCGTTTCCTTTCCATCTACTGAATTTCTCTCTCGTTCTTTAACTCGCTCACTTCCTGTTCATGTTTATGTTTTAGTTTCACTCTCATTTGAGTTCAAAGGACAACTTTTGTCATTTTGAAATTGTAAACAAAGGCTGTAACCAGAGGGTGCGACCTTATTTAACAGCACTTTACGCATGCTGTTTTTCTCTCAAGTGCCTGCAGCTCTCTGCATTAGCTTGAATTATGTAGTTGAGAACTTGATGTTTGTGCACACTGTAAAAGGGTGTTTTGTTTGGTATGAGCTTGTCTATTGTCTTTCAAACAGCCAGATATCTGATAACACACACGTGTTTGCATTTACCGGAGGTGATTTGAATGAACTGTTGATGTGTATTTTGTTTCCGCCTCTTTATTTGCGTATTATATACAGTTTTGACTTTAATCTTGCGGGTTAATTTTTATAGACACTCTTTATAGGCACTTTCCACGAATTGCTAAAGATGTTTTTTAAACAGCAGAGCCACAAATCTCTCTCTCTCTCCTTTTTTTTTAATGAAAACTATTACTGTATTAATAAACAGTAATAGTTCACTGTTATTAATCTGGCATGAAAAGTAGTTCATGCAAATGTGGGTGATTTTAGCCTCAGAGGTGTTGACCTAATAATTTTTTTTCCACATTATTATATTAATATTCACTTTATATATATATATATGTACATTCACTATATACTCTACCGGTCAAACGTTTGGGATCAGAAATATTTTTTATGTTTTTTACAGGAGTTTCTTATGCTCATCAATGCTGCATTTATTTGATCAAAAATACAGGAAAAATTTAATATTGTGAAATATTATTATGATGTAAAATAATGTTTTTCTATTTTAATATACATTCAAACCTAATTTATTCCTGTAATGCAAAGCTGAATTTTCAGCATCATTACTCCAGTGTAAAGTGTCACATGATCCTTCAGAAATCATTCTAATATGCTGATTTATTATCAGTGCTGGAAACTGTTGTGCTGCTTAATATTTTTTTGGAACCTGTGATACTTTTTTTCAGGATTCTTTGATGAATAAAAAATTAAAAAGAAGAGCATTTATTTAAAATAGAAATCTTTTCTAACAATATACACTACCGTTCAAAAGTTTGGGGTCAGTAAATTTTTATTCTGTCTTTTTTTAAAAGAAATTATTATATTGTTAAATTATTAAATTTATATTGTTAGAAAAGATTTATATTTTGAATAAATGCTGTACTTTTTAACTTTTTTTTCATCAAAGAATCCTGAATAAAGTATCGCAGTTTCCAAAAAAAAATATTTGGCAGCACAACTGTTGCCAACATTGATAATTCTAATAATAAATCAGCATATTAGAATGATTTCTGAAGGATCATGTGACACTTTACACTGGAGTAATGGCTGATGGAAATTCAGCTTTGCATCACAGAAATAAATGATATATTAAAGTATATTAAAATAGAAACCATTATTTTATATTGTAATAACATTTTGCAAGATTACTGTTTTTTTCTGTATTTTTGATCAAATAAATGCAGCCTTGATGAGCATAAGAGACTTCTTTAAAAAACATTACAAGACTTACTGATCCCAAACCTTTGACCGGTAGTGTACACACACACACACACACATTATGAAGACATTTAATAATAAATAAAGAAGAATTCAAATTTTAAAAAATACAGTTTCAAGCCCTAATAGTACTTGACTCTTGGAAAGTGTCGACTATTATGAAATATACAGTAAAATTAGGAATACACTGAGATGCTTCTAAAACAAAAATAAAAGCAGATACATACTTTCAATCTCTCATGGGTTACAGTTCCACAGGGAAATCATGACGTCCCAGGAGGAACCTCAGGAGGGACTTTCAACCCTGACCAAGGTGACAGGACCCAGCTCCTGGTCCCGGGTCAGTTGCCCCTGCTGTATCTCCAGCCATATAGAACCTTTGGTTCTGATCCAGCTGGCTGAGAATGTCCAGCCCATCACCAAACAATGGATCATGTCCATGATATCTGCACCTGTGAAGGCTGGAGGTAAGAACAAAAATATTAATAATATTATTAATAGTAGTAATAATATTAAATACACTTTTAAATCTCAGTATCCTTCCTCCCTGCTGTGTTTTAGGGGCTCAATTGTTAGTTCACCCCGGTGAGGACATGAAAGGGGACATGATAGTAGTGGCGGCCCCTCGCTGTACCCTTCTCAGGGTGACTGAGGATCTGGGACTCTGCAAAACCTACCAGGATGGAAACATGACGGCCTTCTCCTTTGAGGACCGTGACAACTTTTGCAACATTGGTGAATATTTGATAAATGAAATAATAGACTGTGCCTGCATCTCAATTAGCAGATTTCTACTAGCCACTCGTGGCATACCAACAAATCAACAACATTGTTTGATTCATTTTACAGAGTGTTCATGTTAGCATGTAAACTTTAACATCCGGCTAATGTTATTAGCTTAAAATTCATTGTTATTTCACTGTTTCTGCAGACAACATGCAGCAGTTCCTGACGCTGGCCGAGAGGCAGTACATCGTTAAACATGAATTGGATTCCATGAGAGCCATGGAGGACCAGCGTATCCCAGGAATCCCAGCACCCAAAGGGAAGTTAAAAGCCAGAGAGAGCATCTGTGAGTATCTGTATGTAGCAGTTGCAGTATGCATTTTTGACACCTTCTGGACTTATTTGACTGGACTGACACAATTTAAGACATTTTTGCATTAAATATGATCAAATTTAAAGAATTATATTTATGGCTATGATCAAATTAGCATACCATCATACTACCCATACTATTTTTTGCAGCTTGCAGCACATTTTTCTTTATGTATTGGAAATGTTTTTTGATCTTTTAAGGTTACATACAGTTTTGCAAACTGTGCTTTTATAAAATAGCAGGCATTACACAGTGCATTCTACACACTATGCAGTAAAAAGTTTGCCAGTACACTATTTATATCATGCAGTTCCATGAGTAGCCAGTAGGCTCCACTCTCCTCTCTCTCTGAACTGCTTAGTCACTGCATGTTGCCTTGACTCCCAATGGTATTCCCATAGTTAAAACCTAATATGGTAATGTCCTGTCCATATCTATCTATCTGTCTATCTGTCTATTTGTCTGTCTGTCTGTTCGTTTCTCTCTCTGTGCTGAAGTACAGAAGCTGGAGAAAGCAGGCGTGATCCGTAACATCACCCCTCTTCATGAGCAGAAGCTGCTGTCTGCTCTGGGGAAGCAGTGGTACTCTCACAAGAGTCTGTGGGGGCAGCCTTTAGGTACAAACACACACACACTCTCATCACTCAACTACACAGACATTAAGTGACTTTAGTATGCCTCCACATCAGATTTTAAATTATACACAATTATCTTTTGTTCAGGACCATTTAATTCTTTTAATGGCCATCATGGAGGCACTAATAAAACTTTCTGAAGTAATTTGACTAGAACTCACAAATGTATTAATTAATTTCACAGTCTCATATGCCACACTGTGAAGCTACAATGTAATCTGTACACCTGGGGTCTTCATTCTGTTTAGGCCTATATATATATATATATGTTTAATATATAT